ACATGTGTAGGCTGATTATCTGTATCAAACAGTTCTTCTACATAAGAAATGAATGTAGAGAACAAAGCAAAGAAGAGCAGATGAAATACCTCCTTAAACACATTTCTCCTTTATGTTTTAATAACTGAAGCAGAGACCATTTTTCCACAACAGTTGACCTGAGACAATCCACCGTAGATGCCCTCCAGCTCTGGCCCCGATGCACCTGAGAACTGTGTGAAAGGAGAGTGCTGTGGTTGTTCTTGTGTCTTAAAAAACAGCAAGATGTCTCGAGATCAAAATAAATGATGAAAATGATACAGGTATTGTTGTGGTGGATGCAGAGGAATGGTGCAGTTCAGCCACACTTTGATGCCTACAGGGTGAAGACTAAATCTGTCTTTGGGACATCAGTTTGGGGAGTTAAGTTAAGTTACTGAGTTTCCTCCAAACAGCTAGTTCAAACAAAACAGAGAACAAAATAACAGAGACAAGAGATGATGCTGCTGAATTTGATCGTCAATTTTGACCTCTTCGCTGTGAGCATCTTGATAGAAATGTAGCTCAACCCTCATTGGTTTGACATTAAATAAATCCTTCAAGAGGCGGAAATTTTAAAGTTTGGACAAATCAAAGTAAACTATCTTTGAGGGTGGATGCCACTAAAGGTCGGCATAAATTAAAGTTCCTTAAGAATTAATTAGGATCCATGCACATATGCACAGTGCACCTCTTCTCCTAGACAATCAAGAGAAACCTCATGTCGTCCAGACACTGAAGGAAGGTCAAAAGGGCCCCCAAGATCCTCTTCAGGAGTCTGTTTGGACAAGACTCTCAGCAGGAATGAACTGAATATGAAGCCTGAATCCATCATATGACTGAGAATGAAAGGTTTGCGATTCGCCTTGCAGGGTAGCCTGCACAGCCTCAATAAAAGGGACCATGAAAAAAAGAGGCTTCAGGCTCACAATACAATACTGTTCCTTCATGCATGCTGCTGGGAATAGAGGATAAAGCAACAAACACATTTGGTTAAAGTATGAAATGTGGTATCTGTATCTTTGGCTTGCCGTGTATCTGTGCCTGTGGTTGCTCCGGCAGACGCGGTAAAAGAGGATGTTAATGAACTGCTGTCACACGTAGGCTGGTGCCTTTGAGGCAGCAGTCAGGATTCTCTCCACGTCCTCAGTCTGTTTGCAGTGTGGAGGCTGTGATGTGCTGCCTGACTGCAGAGAGTCGCTCACGGCCAGACAGGAGGGGACCAACTCAGTACAGGGGGTCCCTGCTGCGGTCCTACTCTCTCCCCAGCAGAGCAAAGACTCGGCTTCATGTATGCGAGTGTGTGTGTGTGTTTGTGCTCTTGTTTGTGTGTGTGCATCCTTGTGCAACATTCATGTTTGCTTTAGTGTAGGTGCATCTGTAATAAGGAGGAAAGTGAGGGAACATGTATCGAGTGAGAAGAGTCTCTTAAAGCAAAGTCTCCTGTAGAGTGCTTTCCATTTTAGAAACAAAAAACAGACAACAAGAGAAAAACTCAAATGTGTGTTTGTGCATGTGCCTGGGTGTAATTGTGTGGGTGTGTTTGTATATGGGACATGGAGCCAGTTTGCCCACTGCTCTCCAATGCAATCTGCCACTGCTGCACCCTGGGTAGTGTCAGAATGGTTTGGGCACCCGCTGTGCCACCTGTCACCCCCAGCCCTGAGGCTCTATGCCAGTCCAGCCACCCGACACTGAGGCCCAGCCTCAATTAAATTGCTTTCACACAACCAGGATTGGGTTTCTTTTCCCCCTACAGGAGATTTATCTTTCTCCACCGACATTGTTATAGTTTACCTCTACTGTGGTCATCTCTGGGCAAGATCTGGGCACAGGTCTCACTCTACAATATTCAAAAGCCTTTGAAAATGTTGCAGGAAACAGTGACAAGCTTTAATGATTTCAAAGCAAAGAAATAAAACCTCAGAATATTAGAAACCCCTAGATAGAATAAAAGCAGTTCATTTTGATGTTTAGTGTGTTTCTCAACACTGTAGAGCATTACCGATCACATTTTGATAGACATCTGCCTGGCTGAGCACAGACAGATTGGCAAATAAACACCAGCATAGTGCAGCCCTAAAGGGGATATTTGATTGTCTAATTAAATCCAGGATCAGAGGAGGAAGCAGAAGTTCTACCATCTAAAAATAATTGTTATGAGCATTATGAGATCTATTGTCTCATAATTGAGATCAAACATGAGAAGATCAGCAAAGAGATATGACGTACCCCTTTTGTCCACAGGGGCCGCAACAATAAACAATCCCAAGAGTTGTCTCTGGAACTTTAAAGAGGACATATTATACTCCTTCTCCACCTTTTCAAACATCTGTGCTGTGCTTTGGTCAAAATATAACATGAATCAAGCACCAGAGGAGGTTTGTGACCCTGTATAAACCAGCTCTCTCAGAACGCTCCGTTTTGTTGTGTGTATCTCTTTAAATGCAATGAACCCCCCCCTGAGTTTTCCCAGTTGACATCACACCTCTGTAGCGAGAATAAAAATTGTTGACCTGTTCAACAGTTTTGTTCTAGGCTGGGGGTGGAGATACCAGGGGAGGGGAGGGTTGTTTATTTTTACCAGAATCCCACTGTGACATCACAAGGAGAGCACATTTAAAACTGAGCATTTTATCTGTGTTGTAAGGTTTATGCAGACCACAAAAAAAGGACTGGATGGGTTTATTTCACATTTTGTGGGTCGTTGGACACTCAGGTTACCCAAATATATGTTCAAAAAGACTGTACAAGTGGATTTCTCATAATATGTCCCCTTCTAAGAAACTGACAATGTTTTTTGTTTTCATCAAAAGTAATCCCTAATACTTTTGCAGTTGCTTCCTCATATGAACATAAACGCTGAATCACATAGTTAAAAGGCTATTGTGGAATTGGCTTTCCAGGGATTTTTAGTTTTAAATGTTGAAACACGCCTTGGACATCAGCAGGGGCGGGGGGAATCTCCTCATCAGCTCAGTTGCTAATGACGTTATCACAAGAATTCAGCAAATAGGGTACCCCTTGAAGGGGAATTCGGGGACTATCTTGTAAGCATGACATCTGGCTCCACCAAACATCTGAGTAAGCAGATTGGCCCTGCAGGCCTGGTGTGACAGCCGACGAGGAAGCTGGGAGATGTGGGAGAAGTGATCTGAACAGCTCCGCTGCTCAAGCTGTCACTTTAGCTTGGTTTGGCACAGTCACATTCTCCGTGGCTCTGAAGCATTAGGGCCCACACTCTTCTGACTGCCGCTGCCCTGCCGGCACCGAGCCAGGTCTTTCACCGGAGAGCTTCGATCAACACTCACTCTTTTCTTTGCTTTCTTCCTCTCCTTCTCCTGCTTAGTCCCTCTCAGCAGGGCTCCAGCTTCTCTATCTCAATCATTCTCCCTTTGTCCTCCTCTGTCTCCCTTTCTTATCCTTTCCTCAGCAGATGCCACAAAACTGGAATCCATTGTAATCTGCTGGGTTTTTTTTGTTGCTTTTCCCAGTTCCTGTCCTGCACTCTGGGCTCCTCATATGCTCTCTTCTTCGTGTCTTTGTTCTTATCTAAGTAGGCGTTCAGTCGTTCAGGAGTCACGCCGACTGCCAAGATACACTTTGACATGTTACGACAACCACTTAAGATTCTCAGAATGAAAAAGGTAACCTGCTATTCATGCGCAATTAAACTGCAACTGCTGCCGTTTTGTTTGGACCGGAGAAGTAGAACATCACTAATTATCAATTTGGAAAAAAACTAATTTGTTGAGGTTATCAAGTTATTGTTCACAGTTGACTAAAGTATAAAACCTAATATCATACCAACCAGTGAATGAATTAAAGCATTGCAATGGAGGCTTATACAACTCTGCCAAATACAGAATTTTAGAGGGTTTTTTATTTCCAGCACAGTACTTCTAAACAGGAAATAAAATGGATCTGTGTTGAGTAATTGATAAAAGGTTATGTATTAAGATCCAATGTGAGGTAAGAAAAAGAGGGCTGTTCATTATTCCACCCAAGCAGTGCAGGAAATGAATTATTAGAGTCAGATAATGACCCACTCACCACAGAATAAACTGTTACCTCTCATTTGTGAAAGGTCAGGGTGTCCTGTTGGCCCAGTGATTAGTGCATGTGAGTATCCACATTGTCTTTTATTATGAGCTGTACTGATGGTTTTAGCTAAATCAAGTTTTTCTAGTTCTATCATCCCAAAAAGCTTTTCGGCTGCCGACTGCTCTTCTGCTGTTGTTGTTGTTGAGATGTTGTTGTCTTTGCTGTTTGATGTTTGATTTTAACTTTGGGGGGTTTCTTGAACAAGTCTTTAGAGGTTTTCTTTTACTGCTGCAACACTTGAATTCCCCCCACTGGGGATCAATAAAGGATTATCTTAAAGTATCTTAAAGAGGAAATATGATCCCCCTTTTCCACCTTTTCAAAGAGTCCCCTGTGGTCTAAATGAAACATCTGTGCTGTGCTTTGGTCAAACTATAACATGAATCAAGCACCAGAGGAGGTTTGTGACCCTGTATAAAGCAGCTCTCTCAGAACGCTCCGTTTTGGTGTGGGTGTGTCTCTTTAAATGCAATGAGGATCTTAAAAGTCGTGAAAAGGATATGGGGCCACTAATCCTCCCATCAGCTGACCCCATTGTGCCCTTATCTCCATGCTTTTGACCTATACTGACAGGTTACATACTCTAAGTTACACTCGGCCCTGAGTGGTCACCACAACACAAACATCATTACCGCCTTCAAGACACCCAGGAAGTGATGCTACATACCTGACCACTTGGCCCTTAATGGCCCTCACACCACGGCCGTTGAATCAGCTGATGACATTATCTATCATCTTTGAAATATAAACAACTTAGTGGAGGCCAAAAAATCTATTTAGTATCATAAATATACGAGAAATCCAACATCTGAGTCAGCCATAAACTGCACTAGAGCACATTTTCCTTGGAGCACATCTGTATGGGAGATACTACTCACTTGTCTGGCCTTCCAGGCACCTGCAGGCGTAAGCGACATTTGTTAGCACTCTGGATCTGTTCTTCTTTGATGCGAATAAGCCTCTGCAGAGCCAGACACCAGTCCTGGGCCACAGTGGTGTTCAGGTTCTTTATAGGAGAAAAAAAACACACACACACACACACACACACAGTTTAAACTTGTTTCTCGACGGCGGCGTATACAGCAGGTCATATAGCTGAGATATAAGCACATTTCATGTAGACTGACCACAGGGGAGCACTTTGGATGTACATATACATTTATAGACACACAAACAAGCTCACATCTTCTCACAGACGCATCCGCTCAAATGTAACGTTGAATTTATTTGAAACAGCACCAGCATCCGTTTTACTGTAAAAGCCGGTCCCTCCAGTCAAATAGCATTGAATCAACTCTCTGCAGTCAATGAGCTGCGCAGAAGTGTTTCTTCTATTTGTTCGCCGGACAATATTATAACTGAGTGGAAAGTAAAAATCAGCTGTTTAGTGCCAGGCCGGTATCACTCCTCCTGAGGACATTGTGCTCATTAAGTGCAGGGAGGCAAAGGTGCCATCATTAGCCTGAAAGGCTCTTTGGTGATTGCAGGAGTGTGCCTCCCCCCCGTCCCCCCCAGGGCTTTGGAGTGTATGCAAAGTGTGAATGTGTTAGTGGCAGACAACTGGGAAGTGTCCTGATTCGAACGCTACAGGAGGGGCTCTGATGGTTCCTTTTTTGCAACATAGCAAATCTGACACTTCTTTTTCAGAGGGAACATCTCATTCCCCACCATTGTGGCTCCGTTGATGAGGAGATAGATGTGAGACTTCCTGCGGTTAGAAATTGAAGATTCAAGAGGCATGCGAGGGCTGCCTCTTTGATCACATTTTAAACATCTTTAGACTTCTTTTTGCACTTTCTTTAAGAGGGAATAGCAAAAAAAAGAGGTTTCCCCAAACGCTTTCCTTTTACCATCCAAACTTTATCTCTTAGTTCGCACTGAATGTGGGAATTTTAATTAACTCCGTAGACTTCTATTTTGACTTTGCTGCCTTCGGGGTGCTCTCAGGGCTTAGGAGCTTTTGTAAGGTAAGCTAAAATATAAAAAAAAAAAAATACATACCATATTTTCCAAAGTATAGATAAATATATTCTCTCGTGTCGGTCACAACTTGCGGTAACAGTCTTATGAACTGTTTGTGATGCTGAATGCAGTTTTTTGGAGAACAAGAAGCCCATCTGAAGGTCACTCCGTGGGCGCATGTCTTATTTTTTTTTTTCAGAGGCCAATTTGAATGAAGGCCTTTTAAGAAACCCAAGAGAGGGCTGTCAGAAATGTAACTGTGACTTCAGCGGTTTGGACCGTGGAGTCAGGTGAACCGAGGAAACCTCTTGCGTCCCTCTGGCTGACTTTGAAGCATTATGTAGTAATATTAATAAGCCAAGAATACAGCTTATTAACAGAGGACTTTTCAGGACACCCACAGACACAACTTTGTCTCATTACATATGTTATATAAGTTTATACATTTTCCCTGTGAGAAAGTCCAGCCACAGTTTAAGTGTTGCCGTGAAGGCGCACGTACCTGGTACATCCCCTGCAGCGTGCCCACCAGCAGAGTGACCTCCTCCACCACAGAAAGGTCATGTTGCAGCTCCTGGAGCTCCTGGTAGAGGCGCGGAGGACCAAGGATGGCTTTACCTAAGAGGAGGAGGGGGGGGGGGGGGGAGTGTTACACTCAAAGCGTATGTTAGATCCCTGCCTCTTGATTGGGTAATTTTGTAACCTAAAGCCTGCGCTCCACTTGCTCAGTTTCAGATATCTTCTCTCTCTGCTCTTTGGGGTTTCTGACTGTTTAATTGTCTTTTCTCACTTTGATCAGTTTTATTCGTCCCTCACCAAACCCCCTCCTCTTGTGTAAAGTCCTTGCGCTCTTCTTGACTGGGCCAATTAGTCTTAGCTCTTTTTGTTTCGTTCCAACATTTAAGTGGCCAAAATAATTACAATGTGCCTTAAACCTTGTGTCTTTGTTTTTTTTGTCATGGACTGATCATCTATGTACCAAACAACGGCGCATACGATGACATTATGGGAGTAACTTTTTTTTGTCCAGAAACCGTCACCATGCATGCAGCCATACGACGAATACATCTGTGCCGAGAAAAAATGGCGGCCAAACGCAAAAACAACAAACGCAAAGGAAGTAGCAGACACAACAAAACCCAAGAAGAAGAAGAAGATACATGACATGGCAGAGCGAGAAGTCCTGCTTGTTTCTTTAAATCAGTTGTGTGGGGAAACGTCTGCTTCTCAGAGGCTGCTTCTGTAGTCCTCGTCGCAGTGACTGTGGGTTAGAATCCGACTTCGGCCCCTTTGCTGCATGACATCCCCCGCTCTCTCCTCCCAATATTTCCTGTCTCTCTTCAGCTGTCCTACTCGACAGATAAAAGGTTAGGGATAAAGGCAAAAAGGCACAATTCCTGCCAAAAAACAAACTAAATAGATATGACATATTTTTCCTTAATGCACATATTTTATTTTGTCTTACATTTGAAATTGTATTTTTTTTTTTATATGTAGCTTTTTATTCAGCATATTTAGTTTTTCCTCTCTTTTTTAAAATGTTTCAAACACTGCATGCTGTGCCAACTATTGGTGACAGAGACACCAGATGGAACAAACTGTAACTGTCACAAACTTCTGTCGGCTCTAAATAAATTAGAAAAACCTAAAATGATGCATTCTGGGCTTCTTGTTACTTTTTTCCCTGTTGTACCAAAATCCCCCCAAAAAAGTGAGGTACAAACCGAACGGTGACCTCTGTGTTTCTTTAGACCCCTAAAAAAAACATGAGCGCATATTACCTTCTACCCTGGCGTAGGCATGCAATTCAAAAAGAATTTCAAGGTTGAAATGTCCTCCAGGGGAAAAGAGAAAAGAAAATATGAAAAGAAGAATCTTCAGAGAACTTGTGAAAGCGCAGACGGAAAAAGTTGCCTTTTGGCTGAAACTCCAGTGGCACTAATAAAAGAGGTTCGATGTTGACAGGATTGATCTTCATTATTTGTTGAACCACAGAGGCTGAATTTATGAGTAAAAAAAAAACAATCACATGGAGAAACTGTTATTTGGAGCTATGATGCCCTTTTGCCGGCCAAAAGGAATGCAGGTGTCTCATTAGACGCAAAATTCAGCATCGATTGGAAGCGCGCTACCTTCAAAGTCTCTCTCTCTCTGCTACTGCTGCGAATCGATTGCTATGTCTCCTCCTGTCTGCCATCCTCCGTCCCAGCTCCCCATGGCCCACATCTTCCCAGCAGGCTCTATGAGGAGTGCCTAATTAAATTCTGCTGGTAGATTTTACTTGTGTGCTGTCCTGCACTGTCACTGCTGCCACATAAAAAAAAAAAGTAGCTGAGCTGTAGGTATGCAGGCTTAGTGAGGCATACTCCCCTAAGGGGGGACCTGCCACCTTTTCTCTATCCACGTGCACAAATAGAGTGAGAGGAAAGCCGGGACAAGACAGCGGGAGAGAAGAGGAGAGGGGTGGGGCCGGGATTGTTCGTTTAAGAACTCCACTGGAGCTTTTGGGGTTTAATGGGATCTTGGTCAGAGGCAGCAGGTGACATCTGTCATCTGTTCAAAGAAATCAATAGGTGAGACATCTGAATATAAAATGGTGCACGCTGCAAGCTGCAAGAACAATGTCCTCCTGTCCTCTGCAGAAGGATTGCATGGACCCCTTTGCGGGTCTGTCGAGTCCTCTGGGGGCCTGCTGTTGGCTGCAGCCCGAGAGGTGAATGTGCTGAGTTGTAATCCAGCGTAATCCCGTTGGTGAGGCAGGATACGGTTTTCACACCAAGACATGGATATCCACACCGGCCGCCAGGCACGTAGCTAAACAGTGTGAGGAAGGCCGGGGCCCAAAGGGATCCAGCCCAGCTTTCTCTGGAGTAAGTCAGCGATCTAACACGGAGCTGCTGTGGCTGTGACGCTAGCCAGTGGATTTAAAGACAATGCAGCTTCCACACCTGCATCAAAACCTTCCTCTGATCCACAGCCAAAGCCCAATGGTATGCTTCTGAAGGGATAAAAAAAAAAAAACTGGTTCCCCTGACAGCGGGTCAAAAGAGAAGCAGAAGTCAGGGAGGGGTACTGGGGGCAGAGAGGCTGAAAAGTATATTTAGGAAACGCTTTAACCTTTCTATTTCTTTTTGAGAGGAAGTTACCATGCTTGATCAATGAACTTGTCATCTTTAATCTGAAGTATTGAGATGGCTTTACTGACAAACTGATGCTCTGCAGTGAAACAGAGAGAGAGAGAGAGAGATTCTGCACATATTGTGTTCTTCTGTTTAATGTAATGTAAGGCTACAACATTATATTTGTGTATTTTAAAAGCTTGTTGCATGTCACTCACATGCTATTCTGTACTCTGCACTTCCTTGGTTTGATTGTTTTGACGTGCTGCATGTAAAATGGAGTTTTTAGGTGAACATTTATGAACCGTACTGGTGAGGAGGAAAGTGAACAGAATTGAAACATAGAGAGAAAGGAAGGTGTGTGTGTGTGTGTGTGTGTGTGTGTGTGTGTGTGTGGATAACTGGAGTAGAATTAAATACATGGAGTATCAAGTAATCACTACTAATGGACTCCTGAGTCTGTAAATAAAGATGATGATGATGATGACTACAAACAGATATCTAAAGATTCTGTAGGTGAGGGACTACTAGGTTTTTTTCCTATCAGTTTACTAAACTGATTGTTTTTGTCCAATCAGTTTAGTTTAGTTAAATGCCACACAACAATATGTGTCGAGAGCCAAAGAGGCAGAACATGTAGTCCATATTGAGAAATGGAAACTCACCAACAGCTCACAAACAACTAAGTAAGGAAGTTTTGGCCAAATCACCCAATTGCCTGAAAGTTTGGCCGTGGCCCCCAGAGGTTTTATCATCACAGGATGATAAGCTACAGGTTCTAACATTGAGAATATAATCGATTTAAAAGGGGGAAATAAGATGCTACCTATTAGAAAAAGGGAAACTTCTTCTTTGGAATACTTTAACAGATAAAGTCAATGACACTGTAGGTACACTGTAATGGAATAACAATGCTCACATTGGTATAGTGTGAAGATATGAACTGAAAGGAAAAGAGAGAGAGAGGCACAGGCAGACACAAAGGGGAGGAGTAAGAAAGGTGGGCCTGCGTTTTACCCTAAAGGCCAGCTTTCTTCAATAAAGAGGAATGCCAGGGTCTGCCGAAGATGAATAATGACTTCTCTTTGAGCCATGCTGAAGGAACGCAGGATTCAGACGAGACAACCCGACTGAATGACATCACGGGGGGATGAAACTATAAATAGATGGGACAGCCTGTCTGAAAGAAAATTTGGAGAACAGCCCTGCAGATGTTCGGGGAGGTTTCTGGATAGACATGATTAAGGTGACCGCAGTGTGTCGGACAAGTTTGGAAAAAAGAAAAGAAAAAAAAAGGAGAAGGAGAGGATGTCAGAGTCAGAACCCGGCAGCCTCTGGTGGGGCACAACAATGAAGAGTCAGACGCAGGGAAAGCAGGAGGAAAAGCTGCGGCTGAGATCTAACCTTAAATGATCCCAGAACCTTGCAGTAAAAGTTGTGAGTATACACTAACCTGAAAACGAAAGAAAGCTAAACCCATTGAGAATCTCAACCTGCTCTCAAAACCGCAGCTGCATGCTGAGGATGACACTGGTATCTCTGAAGAAGGCGCCATTAATATTTAAGTCGTGGAAATGCAACTTCTCAAAAAGCCTGTACCATTACATCCTGATAAGGCTTTGTATCTCCCCTTTTCCCATGGTGCATTTATCAGGGATCTCGTCAAGCTCTGTATACACCAGAGTTTAGTGAGGGGCACTGGGAGAACTAGTGTTTCAACCAGCGATTCCTATCTTCAGCTACTGGCTCTCTAATTGGGCCTGGAAAGGGAGGGAATCATCTCTGCAGATTGATGACTCCTCTCGAGATGTGTTTGTGGTCTATCAGAGAGTGAAATGAGACTGTGGGGATGCTGTGGCAAGAATGGGGGAGGCATGGGGGGGGGGTGTTGGGGCGGTTCGGTGGATCTCTGCCGCCACATCTCTCTCTAAGATAAAACACCCAAGGCGGATGGGAACAAGTGACCGTCATCACTATCCTCCTCGCAAACACATCCTCAATCAGAGTGACAAGCAGTGCGGATGCATCGCCGGGCTCTCCACGGGACACTTGAGAACAGAAACAGATTAGCCGTGCTGAGTCAGAGTGAGGGGCTGAGACCAGAAGTCATTCCAAGTGATGAGATCAAAACAGAGGAAGACATACCGGGGAGAGGGATGAGACAGGACTGCTTGACATTTTTTACCTGAGGTGCATGCACCACTTGGCCGCCTGGCTCCGCTCTGTTGGAAGAAGGTGTCTTTGCTCTGAGAGGCCTCCTGCCCCACCTCCACTACCTGCACCTGCTGTAAGGGGGCGCTCCACTTCATGGTGTACTTGGGGCCAACAGGGACCAGGCTGCTGATATCTGGGGGGCCCCTGATAGAGATCAAAAAGAAGAAAAATTAGAGGAGACCAATTCATATGGCGGCCTCCTGCTCTCAAGACTACCTCACCTCTCCGAGTCCTCACAATCTCAGCTGAGACTCATCTGCTCATTGGTAAAAGTTGGGCTTAAAACTCAAAGAGACGATGCCTCTTTCTCTCACGTGGGCTGCAGACCAGCATGGTGGCACTTTATGCAGAACTCTGTGTATTTGGTGGTATCAGTCTAATGTTATCCTTGGTGTTATCTTAAAAATGTTCAGCATTAGCAGGGGTTATAAATATGTAATAACGCAATACTTAAAGGTCACATATTATGCAAAATACACTTCACTATGTTTTACCAATGTGTCTAATATGTGTCCTTAGTCTGTCTACAGTCCCCCCAATTATGAGAAAAGTCCATCCTCCCCATCTTCAGCCTGCTCCACTTTTCAGAAAATGTGTGCTCAAACAGGCCGTTTGGCGGTTTTCCCTTCATGACATCACAAAGGGCAGTAACCCCTCCCCCAGGTGGGTGACACTCCCACAGCTAGGCGTTTGTTCTGCCCTCTGAGTCTGCCTTCTCACCGTAAACAATAGGACATGGAGCAAGAAGCCAGAGACACCCAAGCCCTTCCAGAGAGAGGGGCGTGGTCAGACACAGCTCATTTACATTTAAAGGTACAGACACAGAAACAGCCTGTTCTGAGCAGGGCTGAAATAGAGGGGTTTATAGACATGATCAAAGACAGGATCAGAGTGGATTTAGAACAAGAAACTTCACACACATGTTGTGAGGAGCTCTGAGACTTATTTAAACTGGTTGAAAAGGAGGAGAATATGTGACCTTTAACACGACAGATCATTTAGCATTCATAGATTTGAGTAATGGAGCTGTACTTTGCTAACCATCCACTGAAATGTGACCGGCCACGCCCGCACATTCTTGAAAAAATGTATTTAACAGCAAAATAAGCTTTCAACTACCGAGGTTTTTAACTTGATTTGAGTTTTATTTTCATTTTAGTGTATCCCTCCATGCAAGACTCAGCTTTGATATCATATTTGCATTTTTACTTGTTCAAGCTGCTCCTCCAAAGGTTTGAATCATTGCATTTTCTATATACAATGAAAAAGAGAGACATAACTACAAAGAACTCTGATAGGAGACGTTTCCTCTCATGCTGTTGACATACAAAAAAAGTAACTAAAAAAGGTTTTGAATTAGAGGCAGCAAAAAAAAAAAAAAAAAAAAACCTGTGATAAATTCCCTCCCTATCCACATCCTGCCAACAGAACTACATCCAGCTCCTCATAGGAGAAGATTCTCTTTGAAATGTCACGATGAAGACTCGAGAGAGGGAATTAGAATCTGTATGATCACCCATGTTCCCCGCCAAAATTGTACCCCTGGCTGCGAGGAGGAGTTCATTGCTATTCATGTATTCCTGTAATCACGCTGACAATCAACAATGTGATCGGTTTGTCGAGATCCTGCGGGGCAGACAAAGTCAACTCTGGGACACTCGAGTTGAATGAGACATGGAGTGATAATTACTTTGAAGGCTGAAGAAGAAGAAGAAGAAGAAGAGGGGCTTTCAGCGACAATTTTGACAGGAGCTTTTTTGCAAAATATACAAAATCCCTTTCCAGTGTGCTCCTCCAGAGAGCGAGAGAGAGAGAGGGAGAGAGAGGGAAACTAGAGAGAGAGATGTGATCAATGGCACTGCCACATAAGATAAATTGGAAAGAAACCAAAAAATGTTTTATGTCAGTTATCTAGGCCTCCTGTAGCTGTAGTTAGGCAGTCTAGCATTTGTTTAATGCTGATAAAGCTCCTGCAACCCAAGATAGTGCCCAAAACCCCTAACAGCTATTTCTCTTTGCTATGCAGTTTGCCAAAATATCCTTGCAAAACCTAGGGCGCCCCCCATTAGAGCCCTGTGCCACCTATTAGCAATTTCTCCTCGCTGTGCAGTTTTAACTGACTCTCCTTTCAAAGCTCGCACAGAACTCCGTGCTAGAATGGCACATTATGAATGCATTAGCAAAGTATTTTTGATGGCAAGGACATTCAGCGTCAACAGGGACTTACTTGACATTTATGTTGGCACAGATCAGCACATCATCAAAGAGGAAGACCTTTCTCTCCTTCGACTTTAGGACTTGTCCCCGTTCCCCGTACACCGTCTCAATGAGCGTCTCGCAGAGGACCAGCGACCCCTGCTCCGAGTTGAGTTGCTGAAAGAGGGACACAGCAGTCAGATCAGAGGCTCGGAGGAGACAGTTTCACAAAAGGGAGGGGGGTGCAGTCCTCCAGGGTTCGATGCCTGGAGGACACAGAAGTCAGGCTTGGAGGAGCAGATGTCTCATCGGGGATTAGCAACACATTCATGCTGCTGAAGGTCATTTAACGGGTGTATAAGGACAAACGCACAAGGCACACATGAGGCTGAGTGATGTCAAAAAAATATGATGTATTTCAAAGTAAAGTGGTGTAAATCTGGTGCTCTTCAGCTGACACTACGTCTCCAATAGGGGCTGAGAACAGAGCTGCTTCTAATCTAGCTAAACTTCTTCTAGGAGCTCAGCTTGTGTTAAGGTTACGATTTTGTCCGTGGGGCGCCAGTACAGTAGTGGTTAGTGCACGCGCCCTATGGCAGGCAGCCCGGGTTCCGCCTTGTTGCTCCTTTCCTGAATGCTTTCCCTACTCCATCTCTCTCATGCTATCCACTATCCCATCTTGACAAAAAAAGGCATAAAAAGCCCCAAAATAAATCTTCCTTCTGTGATCAAGGTTCTGCAGCCGCTCCTCTCCACAATAAATATAATCAGTGAAAAATACCTGAGACTGCATGAAGCAGTTTCAAGTTTAAAAATCAGATAAGTCTGATGAGGGGGCTGCTAGCTGAGATGTGACTTAAGTCAAAACAATCGATGTCACACAAAGCAATTTTCCTCATCTTTAGAGCATAACAGGAGTCATGCTTTTGTGCCCCTTGAACACATTTTGTTTTTCTGTAGTTGAGGACATCCACTTTCCTGAACAGCAGATCAGACAAAGTTTTGTTGTTGGAAAGCTGAGAAAAAGGGCGACTGACTTGCTGTTTTTGCTCATTTTACTGCTGTGTGATAAGCTATGTCCATAATTTGTCATTGTTCCTGACACAAATTCTTCAGGAATTGGTGTATATATTGCCCAGCACACACACACACACACACACACACACACACACACACACACACACACACACACACACACACACACCACACACACACACACACACACACCACACACACACACACACACACACACACACACACACACACACACACACACACCACACACACACACACACACACACACACACCACACACACACACACACACACACACACACACACACACACACACACACACACACACACACACACAGGACTTGGGAAGTGCAAGCAGAAACTATTTTAAAAAATATATATACTTCAAACATGCTCCAGATTTCTGTTTGTTTGTAAGCATCACATTTTGCATCATATCACTGAGTCCAAACTGGCTTAGCTAATGAATGTTAGGACAAACTGTATTTTTCAACACAACAAGTTTAAGACACACAGAGATCAAGTTGTAAACAGTTAGCAGTATGTACAGCTTACATACAGACACCCACAGCTGAATGATACAATAACAGAATGTTATGTACGCCACAAAGGTATGTTAGTTCATGCTGTGCTTTACAGTAAATGGTAAATTGACTTATAGTGTAAAGTGCTTTTATAGTCTCCTGAGTGAGTACTCAAAGAACCTTTTACCCTGCAGATCACACCAACATCACACACTGACGGCAGAGGCAACAATATAAAATGACCATCATTACTAACTCATCCATTAGTACACATTCATCGGCCGCCAACGCAGCAGCTGCAGCAATTCTGGGTTCAGTATCTTGCCCTAGGGTACGTCAACATGTGTCTGCAGGAGATGAGGATCGAACCCTCAACCTTCCGGCTGAGAGACGATTGATTCTACCAATGAGCCCCAGCCGCCCAGTCATCTTCCAAGTCATATAGCAGGAGAAAGCTTTTTATGTCATTATCATCCAATGTCTTCTTTAAGACAGGCTAAATCAGAACTTTTAGTTTCATGGTCGCTGCATTAATCTAAGCCTGCTTCTGTACAATTGAAGGGAAGCCAGTGTACCGCAAGCATCAGGCTAAGTTAGAATATGGAGTTCAGATACTGATACTTTGGTGTATTTTTGTAGTTCAAAAGGTCTAATTATAGTAAATAATGAATCTCTCTGCAGTGCAGTCACTCGTCCGACCACACTTCAGACTTAGATCTGCAGGCAATCTGCAGCTGCTCTCGGCTGTGGCTTGGAGAGCACACAAAATGAGTCATTAGTCCGAGTGGAACTACCGTTTGATGGCCACAAAATCTTACAGCTCCCCAAGAGGTAGGCTCCTATAAGGATTCACCCTTAAAGTTTTCAAGCATCGGTAGCCACAGAGGACACTTCACCGTGCACGTGTTCATGTGTGTGTGTGTGAACGTGTGCAGAGCCCATTCTACCTCACATTGTTATCTGTCCTACTCCGCCAACTTGGATACTCTGAGACAAAAAAAAAATATGAATATTTCATTGGATGGTTATGGGGCAATAGAGGAGACCGTTTCCTATTGGAATTCTGCAGTGTCACCGCAGCAAATGGAATTCTGTGTGGAGTGGACCAGATTGGCCGAATCAGCTCATCTCAGAGTCCTGGAAAGCAAGGGCTGATAGAGAGGGAGAAATAAAAAGAAAGGGAGGGGGGGGGGGGGGGAGGGGGAGGGGGGAGGGGGGGAGATGCAGTCGCACTGGAGGAAGAATAAAAGAGAGTATAAGTAGAGAGATAGAGTAAGCAAGAGAGTGCAAGAGGGGAACAGACGACGGGTAAAGTGGAGAGAGAGGAAGAGCGACGGGATGAAAGAGATAGCTCTCTTACAGTTTCCAATTAAATGTCTCATTTACCCCCTAATTCTTCTTATTCAGAGCAGCATTTGTTCAGATTTGCGGCAGCAGGACTGTAATTTCAGTGTGGTAATGGAGAGGCAACGCCTCTGCCACTGCATTTGGTAGTGTTTAGGTATTTTAATGGGCATCATTTCTCTGAGATAATTCCTCCAAATAAAAATGCCTTCCTAGATTAATGTGATATAAGCGATCGCTCTATACTGGTTCATTTAAAGGTGTTCACAGTGATAACAGTGCAGAGGAGTTAAAGGGCTCAGAGGCTGGCTCACAGCTGATTTGATTGGAGCGTGTGTGTGTGTGTGTGTGTGTGATGGTGTGTACATGTGTATGGGGCAGTGACACGCGTGTCCAGTCACCTTACTGAGCAGGCGATCACTGACGCTGCGGGCTAGCTGCTGAGTTTCTGCAATCTGGTCGGCTACTCGTTTCTGTTCATTCAGCTTCTCGGCCAGCATCTCCAGCTCTGTCAGAGCGAGCTGCAGGGGCAGACGGTCCACGTGGCCCTTCGGTGTGTTCTTAAGCATGTCCTAGAAAAGGTCACAGAGAAAGTTCTTTTTAAGGACACTGCCAGTTTGAATTGGATTTTTTTTTTTAAATGTGGGAGGCTTTGTAGCCAAAATGTATTTTAGAACTTTAAAAGATGCATCTATCTATCTATCCACTCTAGTGTGTGTAAATCAGACAATTAAACACTTCTTATTTCAAATTCCATACCTTGGATTCCATCCTGCAATAAACTAACAGCTAACAGAATGATGAGCTCTTGTTGTCTCTATCTGAAAAAGTTGAAATCTGGGTCAAACACTCCCTTCAGTGTGTGACTTACGCAGGATTTGGAGAGTGGGTAAAAGCCACACTGAACTTTCAGGCAGGTGTGTAAACTTGTAGAGCTTCTTTTCTTTTTTTTTTTGTCAGCAGCGTTAGCTTAGACCAAAAAAACGTGTGAGAACTCAAAGGATCAAAGTGTGTCTGACTGCAGGCCTTGGGTGTTGCATGTCTATAATTGCCCCGCATCCATGAGCCAGCGGAGACTCGCTGTTTGTCTTTATCCGCATCTCAGACATATACCTCCAGTGCCTTGAGCTCGAGTTCTCTGTAATGTAAGATTTAAAACACACACTTCCTCTTCGGAGAACCGAGTTTAGGCCGGGTGAAAAAAATGCCTGATTCACATTCATAACTTATCTGTTGAATTCATGGATAATCAATGCCTACTGAGGGATGAAATGAGCTGCAGCAGATCCAGCAAAGTCAAGCTCAAATCCAAATCTTTGCTCGGAATGGAAAGTGAAATGTAAATCCAGCACTATGAAAAACTGATGTGGCTAGCTACTTTTCAAGCCTCTGGCTAACACCAGCGCGGAGAGTTAGTGAGGTACAACTTCTTGTAGTTGTGATGAGTTTAAATCCATTAATCGATTCTGTGGCCTCGCGGCTTTGCATCTTTATCAGCCTGTGTGCTGCTGAATCTTTAATTGGACTTCTGTTTCTCATATTGGAAGTTTTTTTTTTGTTTTTTTTTAACTTGTAGTACTCACTCAAATAAAATACAAGTGCAACACGATGAAACATCTCGTACCTGCAGGAGTAATATGAACTGAGGGAAGCGCTGAATCGGCTTGACCATGAGGCCGTACAGGGTGATCCGGTCAAGACTAGACGACTGCTTCCTCTGGAAACAAAACAGAGAAAAAGAAGAATATTAAAACAGAAAATACAATTGGAAAAAGAAGACACCCCGCACAGAAAAGGGCACGAGGTGGAAACTGTTTTTCCTGCTTAAAGGCGAGTTCATCAGAATCCTCTATAGGCTGTGTGCGTTGGTGTGTGAGTGGGTGTATAACGTGTGAGAATCAGGGTTTGTTAGTCATATGAGAGAATGAGAATAAAAGAGGAGATTTACTTCAGTGTGTAATGTCTAATGTGGAGCTGTGGGCGGAGGTCAGCAGTAGATGTGGAGGGTTTTTTTTGTTTGTTTTTCCGGTGCGGTGTCAAGTTTGAGCAGTGATGACACCATGGGAGCAAGAAGGGAAATCAGCGGGCACATTTAATAGATGATATGGAAGTCAAGGTGAGATGAGAGCAACTCTGAGACAGATGCAGAAAAAAGAATAAAGGAAGATTATTGCTGCAAGTTAAGAGATGTGGTATCATCTGGTTTACAGTGCTTTAGCAAACATGATTCCTCTGTGTCATCTTTCTTTATGGAGGTGTCGAGTTTGGAGTATTCTTCCCCGGGATAGGAGTCGTGTTTACAAGGTTAAACTGGATGATATCAATTCAGTTATCTGGGTTAAAGCTTTTATTAAAATCTATTAAATAAGCAATAAGGGGGGAGGGGAGGGGGGGGGGAATAAAGGTCTGTTTTTGTGTTTTCTGTAAAATTGTGTAAAAAAAAAGTTTTATCACTCAAAATTATCAAGCTAGCTAGTCAGCCATTCTTATGAAGTTCATCACATTTTATGTACATTTTTGACTGAGCTGTATCTCTTTTATTTGTGTCAGCCCTCATGGCTCAGGTTTGATTTTTCAGGTACAGGTGGGAAAAAGGATCCAAAACAGAAAGGCTGATTGAGGTGTATTTCAAGAGGGTTGTTTTTTTTTTTTTTTTTTAAGTTTTTGGATATATTAAATATTAATTCTTTTCTGGGTTTATTGCTGTCGGCTGGAAGATCAACATATTCTTTTATTTCATTGCATCAGATACAGAAAATGACAAATCAACTCAATTTTAAGTGTTTAAATTTGCATCTTAAATCACTTATACTGTATATCATTATGTACACAACAACATCAAATCACTTTGATAAAAGCAAAACAAAAAGCAAAGTATTTGTGATATCTGATTTTGTCAATATTGAATGTCAAAATGTTTCGTCATTCCGAAGTCTGACGTTGTCCCATTAAATTAACTGAGCATCAGCTTAGAGCTAATTATGAAAATCTCTATAGGGCAGGGATTTATAGGATGTAACTCCCCCTCTAGGGAGCCCTCTGAAACAGCTTGACTGACTGGCATGCAGAATCACTTTAAATACCTAAAGCCCCGCTCCACTACCTTCTGGCATTTCTATTATATTTCATATATTTCCTGTCAACTCTGTTTGCCAAAGATTTTTAGGACAAATATGTTGTGTTGAAAGTTGAAACTTTCAAGTTGTTGTGAAATCCGCCTGCGTGACTTCAGGAGAAGCTCAATGTCAGACAAAATCCTCCACGTTTGCTCAGCTGCACTTCCATTTCCTGGCAACTCGAGAGCATTTGAGCACTTCAGTTCCTCATTGTGCTTCAACGGGATGGTATATTTTTTTTATGGATTTCCTACAGATGTTCTCTTGCTGCTCTGCCGAAACTCTCAGAGTAATCGTACTATCCTGATTGGTCGTTTACCTCTGGTAGTCTCTCTATCAGGCGGTTAGTGATTAGCTATTAGGCGGTTGACTCGGTTAGTGAATAAGCTTTGGACTCCCAAACGGAGGAGGTTCGGAGGACACCCAGAGCGGAGCAGCCAGTCTCTACACTGTTTTCTCTGCATGTGGTTAAAATTTGATTGGTAAAAAGAGATCTATTATGCTGACCCATATTTAAATACATATATTTTATAAGGGGGGGGTTAGGGCTTAAAGAGACAGCAGTTGAAATGAAGCGTTTCAGGCAAAGGCAGAAATGGGGGTTTTTACTGATGCCAGTAAAAGATAAATAAGGAGGTTTTAGAACGTATGGCAACGCTATACTCAGCAGGTGTCTGGACTGACATCATTAACGGTGAAAGTGAGGATAATAGATCTCATTTAAACAGGACATATTATAACCCGTCTCCACCTTTCCAAACAGTCCCCTGTGGTGTAAATGAAACATCTGTGCTGTGCTTTGGTCAAAATATAACCTGAATCAAGCACCAGAGGAGGTTTGTGACCCTGTATAAACCAGCTCTCTCAGAACGCTCCGTATTGGTGTGTGTGTCTCTTTAAATGCAATGAGCCCCCCCTGAGTTTTCCTGGTAGACATCACTCCTCTGTAGAGAAAATAAAAATGGCAGACCTGCTCAGAAGTTTGGCTCTAGACTGGGGTTGGAGTTCATGGGTGGAGATACCAAGGGAGGGTAGGGGATTTTTATTGTCAGAATCCCACTGTGACATCACAAGGACAGCAAATTTGAAACGGAGCAAATTTCTATGTGTTGTTAGACTTATGCAGACCACAAACAAAGGACTGGATGGGTTTATTTAACATTTTGTGGGTCAGTAGACACTCAGGTTACCCAAATATATGTTCAAAAACACTGTAGAAGTGGATTTCTCATGTTATGTTCCCTTTAAAGTAGTTTGGCATATGCATATGTAATACAATATACTAGATCCAGGAAAAGCTTTTATGAAACATTTACCCATCTGCTACTTGATGAGATCAGGCTCTTGCACCCTTGGTTGAAACAAAATCACAAGACAGGCACAGCTGAAGAAACCTTCAGCACCGACAACTCGTGTTTTTTCCAAGAAAAACCCACGCACATCTTTTTGCTATGATGAAGAGACAGAGTCGATTGAAAACACAAGTATTAATCACACTTAAACTGGAGTTGGCTGGCTCTAGCAACAAAAAGCTTAACTGGGAATCTGAGGTGAGCAGCCTTCTGTACTAACGACCTCACGTGGGGCAGCACACACACAAAAAAGGCCAGCACAGAGCAGAGTGTTGGTTTTCCTTAACCACAGGTGAGTCGCCTCATTGCCGCGTGTTTCTCCTCAGTAACTGAATGAAAGTGGTTTCCTAGCAGCGTTGGAGGAGATTAGACCTGACTGGCTGAGCAAGCAGCTGCAAATGTGAGAGCGCCGCTCTGCAGAGGAGAGTGGTCAAGCTTTAAGATCACATTAGTGGGCCCCCGAATCTGTGTGAAATAGAGCTGGCAGTGATTTTATTTTTTTTTAGAAAAAAGAAAAAGGAGCAGATTTGTTAGTTTCCATTTAGGAATATTCACAAAGACATGTAACCAACCCTCACTCTAAAGAAGGCGAGAGACACGTCTATGGTTGTGTCTAACGGAACATAATACTTTATTTTGTAATATTTCGGACATTGTCACCAAGCAACTTTAACAGTGTGACAAAAGACTTTGCATTAAACCACATTCTGCGACAGATGAACTTCTTTTTTTGGTTAATTCTGGTTAAAACACCTTATATCTACTTTTCATGTCAAGAAAAAAAGGGGTCTGCAATTGAGTTCCCCTCCTTGTTTTTCCACTTCATGACAACACTACACTGTATGATGTTTGAACACAACTCTTTAACAACCCTATTGGTTTTAATGAGAACCTTATGGTACACACTGACTGTGAGAATAAACACCCGGTTATCACTTTTAATGTAATTTTGATATTAAAACAAAAAGCTCTGTGGCCCTGAATGTCAAAATAACAAAACCCCAGGGAAATACACAAACAAAAACCTCATTTCAGACAGCAAAAAGGTAGCAGAAAAAATCCTGCTGATCTGCTGTGGTCCTCCAAACACTAAGGGGCGCTGTTGCAAAAGGTTGGAACTGCAACCAACCGTTTAATCCAACACCATCTGTAGATTATTTGTTGAATTTGTTTGTTTTTGTGTTTTCTGTAAAGTCATTTTTTTTGTAATGGTTTCCTGTGTTTTTTGTGAGGAGCGTTTTGTGGAATCTTGTTTCGTTTTGCTAAAAAGATTTAATTTAGTTGAATGTTTTTTTGTGAATCCTTGTTGTGTTCTGTGAAATGTTGGTGTGCGCTGACCTTCAGTGCCTCCATAAAAATGTCTTCAGACTGCAAACAAACATTAAATTTAATCTTCTTGATCCTTTTAAAACTTTCATCGCATGCTTATGGTCCAATGCATGCAGTAAACTACCCACACAATATTTTTTTAAAACTTGGAAGCCATGATGACGTCTGTCATTAATTCAGAGTCGTTTTCTCCATTCTATGTAGCGCGTTGGATATTTGCTGAGTCTTCTCATGACCAGTGAGAGCTGCAACAGGCAGATAAAGAGGAATGTTTCAGCGGAGAGGAAGGGACACATGTTATCTGGGGTAAATGCGGGCTGTCAGCCGTGTGGTCTGCTTCTGTAAATCAGCGGTACAGCTCAATGATGGAGGTCAAACTCATGCATGAATGCCGAACACACAGGGAAGTGTTACACTCGACACATTTAAATCATCTCCTGGCACCAGCCACGTAACTTGGCTCTATTTTCCGTGTTAATAATCCCTAATTTAAAGTTCTCACAATAAATAAACAGAAGAATTAATTTATTATCTGGTTGTGGAAAGTTGTGTAATTTCCGTTTCCCATTAAGTGTTGCAATTTCATATTTTTGTCCAACAGCTTGTTTTCCAGTTGACATAATTGGCATTCATTCATTTGAAGATTTGTCCATGTTTCATTATAAAACTCATGGGCGCTTGTCAGATATAAGAAAAAGATGTCAAGGGCAGAGAGAAGCATACAAATGTTATTACCACATGAATAAAAGGACGTATTTATTGCCTGGACAACCTTGGATATTTCCAGGGTTACAACTAGCACCGTTTGTGACACAGCGCCTCAGACTCCCGGTGACGACTGCACACTGTTCACACATTGACAGAGCCTCTTCTTGATTTTGATTGGTTAATGAGGGAGAGGGGATATTGGCAAGTGTGGCGCTGTTCCAAAATTGAACTATGAGGAACAAGAACTTTGGTGCTCTGGACACCGCGTGCTAAAAATGGTGAAATGCATTGTTTTTGTATTCACAATTGTGAAAAAAAAAATTAAGATGTCACCCTCGTTAGTGGGCACCAGTACTAGGCGGTTAAACAAATTATGAATATTTCGATCAATTAAGACCTACAATGTCAGTCAAATATTGTGTCTAAGTTATAACAAAGTCACCCTCCACTAGTTGGGATTATAGATCCTGTTCATTGGCTCTCCCAGCTTTACTACCTAGATGTAAACTTGCACAGTAGAAAGATGGCATCTCGTTGCACAGTTTGGCAGTCATTTCATATGGAAAATGGAGCTAAAGTTGTATGTAGGCTGTGTCAGTTTAAACTGGCATATAACCACTCGATCAGGGTGTGAATGTGTAGGTGTGACCTGCGGTGTAAAAGTGCTTTAAGTGGTCAGAAAAGCTATACAAGCTCAAGCCCATTTACACATTAACATGCCAGTCAGAGCTTCTTTACAACACAAGGCTCTCTGCTTTTGTCCTAAAGTGCCACAAGATCAAAAAATTCCTAACAGCTGCTTTACCATCCTACATTAATGTGAACATTTTCTTCTCCCAGCAGCCTCTGGATAATGCTTCAGGCTGTCATGTTATAACCACCCACCTGCATGGTGGACCAAAGACTGGTGGATCTCATGATAAATGGACTTGTACAGCACTTTTCTAGTATTCTGACTACTCAAAGCACTACTCCAATATTTGTTCTATTTTAATTTCTCTTCTATGGAAACTTGAGAACCGGTTTTATTGAAGCCATCTGCTTTAGGCATCAGCTGAACAAAACAAACACACAGAAGAGCTTAGACTCAACCAGGATAGTTTAATTTAATAATTACAAATGGAAAGACAGAGAGACAGAAAAAACAAGTTAAAGATCTGGAGCTCACCTTTAAGAACTCCAGGAAAGCTGGTTTGGACATGCACGCCTTTTTGATGAGAGCCATGGCGTTGGTGAAGTTGTTCACATACTCGCTGTAAACATCCAGCACCATGGACTTTGAAAACTATGGAGACAAGAAAACAAGTATCATCATCTGAATTCATAAAAACAGCCCTAAAATAAGAGGTTTGCATTTTGTTTGTGTGGTTTTTACACCATCTATAAACACAGACACGTAATTTCATCTGACACTTTGAAAGTCTGGCTAGGGGGGAGACCTGAAGGTAATTTCAATGTATAGAGGGGGCTGGAAGATGGACATTTAAGTATAGTGCTTTAAAAAAAAAAAAATTGATTTGTTTACCACCCTGGTTACTGCAACAACCTTCACGAGCCATTTAAGGGGTTGGCCAAAGAGGAATGAGGTGGTGGAGTGTGAGAGAGAGGGGGTGGTGTGTGTGTGTTTGTTGTGCGATTTTAACATTCATTCTCTCTCCTCAATTAAATTCACACCAGGCAGCTGATGGAGGCAGTTTGAGGAGTGGTGGGAAATTATCAGACAGCATGAAGGCGTTATCCCGCTTTGCTTAGACTCTTCTTCTGGATCATGAATTTCAGATATCACTACAAACTGTAGGGGAACGGTTCAGCCTTTCACACACACACACATTCATGCATGAATTGCACATCATCTCGAGCATGGATGCTTTGACTTTGTTCACGCTGAAAGCCTTAAACGCTCAATCAGGATTTGTTTTGCTCATATCTGGCTTTTTTTGTTTTGTTTGGCTGTTCACAATTCTTTTCCAAAGTGGCCTGCAGCAGATTCCTGTGTTGACTGCTTAAAAACCTGAACTGACCCAGGAGTGCAAAAAGTGTTCGGCCATTTCTTTTGATATGCTTTCAAACACAGGTCGGCTACAACACGACCCGTCATGTTTCACTTGTATAGAAGTGTCATCCACAAATACTCTTTAGAGGTCTCACGCCTCACTGTCCCTCCACTGACTCACAGCTGTCTTCCATGTTTGTTTTCAATGAGTACAAGTGACTCACACCTCCTCCTGTCCTGCCAGCACAGAACTGTGCTGATGAGAACTCAAAGTTTAACGCTCTCTAACCTGGTTGTTTGGATTGAGATCAAAAGATGCACACACAAAAAAAAGGTGCAAACGACCTGTATCTGATTTAGGACCACATGTGAAAGTGAGCAAAATCTGATTTGAAAACATCAGATTCCGTGTCACTGGAATCGTTGGGTTTTTTTTTGGGGGGGGGGGGTATTCGCCAATACTCTCGTCTCGGTATTGCAAGCAGTAAATGAGAAACTGAATCTCTATTTTGGATTTTTTCTCTGCATAAACACAGCTTGACGGGGGTTCATATAAAGTACTATAACAAAGAGAACTAAAAAAAAAAAACCTTTAAAAATCAGGAGTAACATTTCAGTTATTTGACATTTATTTACAACAAAAACCAAACGCCCCGGTGGACAACCAGTCCAACCCCCTAAGCTACAAACCCACAGTACTCAAACAGTGCCACGTGAACAAGGTCCAGGTCAATGAGGGAAACACAGTCCCAGCACTTTCCCTGACAGTAAGGTCTGAGGATATCAATGGACCAGCGCTATAATGGCCGGCAGAGGAGGAGCGGGTCGAATCGGTCCCTCTAATAGGCAAATAATGAGCAGACCTTATGGATGAGCACACTGCACCGGGGGACTTGCAACAGAAAACGCACACAAAACACTATTATTCTAGTGCCAAAGTTTGTAAACACACATCTCGGAGATGATCGGAGGCAGAGGAGATATTCATCACGACTGTAATTGATTCTCTGTTTGGGGTAAACTATCCATGTTTGTTCAATCTTAAAAATCTGTATCTCATTATAATTCTGTCGGCAGAGATTGGGATGTAAAGTTGGGAGGGAAATGCAGAGGGGAAAAAATGATTATGTTTAACCAGAATGCAATTCTTTGATTGCATTTTAGACAGAAACACACAAGGAATGCACACACACACACACACACACACACACACACAGGGGTGCTGGAGAGCCTAGCGGTTATGTCGTGCGCTATAGTATCATATGTGAGAAATAGAAATGCAAACAGGAGGCGTATTAGCGACTGGAGGCTTATTTGTGTGTGTTTTTAAAGATATATTTTGGGCCATTTTTTCCTTTATTGAGTTGGAGAGACAGGAAATGTTGCCAAGGGCCGAGTTGGAATTTGAACCCACTGCAGCTGCAAAGAGGACTCAAACACACACACACTAACCGAGGCAACAAACAGGTCTCCGATTTTCTCACAGCTGTCCCATTCTGCCACACGTGAAGCCAGGGCGATCTGGAACATGGAGTGGCACTGTGTGATCTCCCTGATGCGGTAAAATATGGGCCGAATCTTCCTCGGACTCAGGATGCGTGGATCGGCTTCCATCAATGGTCTGTGGTATTCCTGGAGAGATTGTGAGAGAAAATCTGTTTATTCATGTTGATAATGTGCTTTATATATATATATATATATATATATATATATATATATATATATATATATATATATATGTGTGTGTGTGTGTGTGTGTGTGTGTGTGTGTGTGTGTGTGTGGGTGGGTGGATGGGGTCATTAAGATGAATCAGCAGACCACCTTTCATAAGCTTCTCTTCTTTTCAGCCGCATAAAAAAAAGACGATAAAGGCACTCAGAGACAAATATCCTTTGAATCGAGGAAAATTAGGAAATGAAGCCTGGAAACGCATCAAACTGAAGGATTCACCCATTAAAAAAAAAAAAAAAAAAAGCATGAGCTGTCAGCAAACATGCTCAGAACTCAAGGTGACTTGTAATCATAAAAGCTGTAATAATAATGACAAAGAAGAAGAAGAAAAAAAACACACACAGCTCCCAGCAGAGCTGCAGATGCGTCGCGGTGAAAGAGGCATTGATTGATTCTTCAGTCAGCACTCATGTGGATATTAGCAAAGCCTACAGAAACGAGTTGAAGGGCTCTTTGTGGACAGTATCTTTTGTGGAAACAAGTAAACATGACTTCTTTTGAACACAAACATGTTGAAGGGTGGATAAATATTGTGTTTGCGCCGAATACAGAGCATGAAAAACACCATTTAACTCCATCAATTAATCCAAGTGAGCAGCTGTGTTGATTTTTTTTTTTATTGTTGTTGTCGATGTTGTGCAGGTCTTATCTTTGCAAATAATTCATCAACAGAAGCCGCCCAGGCAGCACAAAATGAACAATAGTGCAGTCTGTTATTTCAGCAATAATGAAAGAAAGAAGCCTCGACGTGTAATACCGCTTGTGGCCTTTTCATCTGTTCATGTCATCTGTCTAAAGACTCCACTTTAAGCACTTGGCTGCGGACTCTTTGAATAACAAGAGAAATATCAAAAGGCCTAAACCTGTGCCTGAGTATCACACGCAATCATGTCAACCGACAACAAAAGGTAGCGCATTACATCTTGACGGGGGCAGATTTTTGCGAGCGAATAAGGCAGCCATTGATTGCAAGTGATTCGGTGCTTCTCTTATTTTTGTTCTGCGATGAGGCGATAACGAGTCTCCTTTTTACCACTGAAAAGGGAGATTAAAGAGGAGAGGTTGCACCCCCATCTTGTGCACACCTGACAGCGTCTCTCTCTCTCTCTCTGCATCAGCACTTAGGATGGCTGTTTTATCAGGATTATTTATGCTGAGACACCTCCATAATGTAATGGATATCGCCGCTTCTCTTTGCAGCGTCATTCATAACAGCTCAAATGGAGGCGATATTGCATGTGGCAGAGGAGGACAAGAGGGACCAAAACAGCTCACCTGCATGATTCTCCTCAGGGAGTCCAGGTAGCTCCGCTCGCTCTGAATGATGGAGCCGAGGATATGGCGCCTGACAACCTGCGGCAGACAACAGACCAGTCAGGGAAATGTAGCGCTAAGAGGAGATGATGGGGCTGCGGTGTGCGGTATATGCTTTCAGTTAAGCACGCGGCAGGTTGATGGATTGCCCTGTAATCATGCGTTTGTCACAGGAGGAAAAAAAAGACTCAAAGAGGAGTCAGGATGTTTGAAATGAGGCCTCAATATGAGGAGTGAATCAGTGGATACATTATGATATGAAAACTGCTTTTTCCTGCTGTTCTGTTCTGTTTTTTTTTTTTTAAATACAGAGAATTTTTGGATACAGAGAATACAGAGACTACAGAGTACAGAGAGATGTAAAATACTGAAATAACAAATGGACATATTTAACATGACAGCCTGAAGCCTTATCCAGAGGCTGCTGGGAGAAGAAAATGTTCACATTAATGTAGGATGGTTTTATCTTGTGGCACTTTAGGACAAAAGCAGAGAGCCTTGTGTTGTAAAGAAGCTCTGACTGGCATGTTAATGTGTAAATGGTAAATGGACTTGAGCTTGTATAGCTTTTCTGACCACTTCAAGCGTTTTTACACCGCAGGTCACACCTACACATTCACACCCTGATGGTAGAGACTGCTATTAGAGTGACAATCAGTATTAGCTAATCCCATTCATACGCCGCAGGAGCAATTTGGGGTTAAGTTTCTTGCCCAGGAATCATCGGACATGTAGCTGCAGGAGCTGGGGATCAAACCTTCGACCTTCTGGTTGAGAGAAGGCCGACTCCACCACTGAGCCACAGCTGACCCTGATTGTGAGCGACAAGCTCATATTTCATTCCCAACCAACTCGTGTTTCATTACATAATATGCCACTGACTTAATATTATTAGTCGTGTTTGTTGGTGTTCATTTTTTTGGGTAGCAAGTGAAAGAAAAAACGTGTTCTTTTAAAAAAACACTTGAGATTTTTTAAAGACATATTTGTTTGCAGGATGCATTGCAATGAAGGACTGTATCTATTTGTGGCTATGACCGATTAATTACTGTGAAGTAATTAGAGTAGAGCTGCAATGATTTATAGATTATTGTTTAAAACAAAGTCAGTGACCAGCTAGTTTGAGAGAAGATAATTATCATATTAGTCATTTATTAAAGTATAAATGTCAGAACTGGATGGTTGCAGCCTCTCACATGTGACTATTTTACTGCTTCTCTTTGACATTTATAATTGTAAATGGGTTTTTTTTTTTTTTAACTGTTACTGAAACAAAGAGAGCAAACTGCAGCTGTGACTGCAGCCTCTTAAAAGTTCTGATGAGATTTTTTCATCAATATACATAGAGATTAATCTGAAAATCAAAAAATGTAGTTGGCACACAATTTAATATTGGAAATGATCTAAGTAGCAGCCAATGCAAAACGGCCACATTTTTCTTTTTGCAAGGCCCCTAGTTAAATATTCCATGTAAAGTCGGGCTGAGCTGAGCTGATCTGTAAACTCAACAGGAAACATTCAGAAAATTCATCATGAGCGAACAGGCGGGAGAGATGACGTATAAATCACATAATCAAGCTGCTTCACATTTGTTTGTGCTAGCCAGTATGCTCTTTTCCACTTGTTTGTTGTTACTGTGAAAATGTCCAGTTACACGATAAAAAAAATTGGTCATCTAAATGTTGAACTCTGTCCACAGGAAGTGCCATCTTGGATTTCTGCAACAACGTCCGTCTGTGAACCCCCCCATTCCTAAAGTCGGACAGGGACATGTGTGAATAAGCAACCCAGGAAGATTTCAGGGGTAGGGCAGTGTGTGTGTGTGTGTGTGTGTGTGTGTGTTGTGTGTGTGTGTGTGTGTGTGTGTGTGTGTGTGTGTGTGTGTGTGTGTTTAAAAACTGCTTTAGATTAAGACCGTTTGCTAAACTCCTCACGGAAGGTTTTACCTACAAGCCAAAGAGCTGTATCTCAAGGCTTCAGGGAACGGTTTATGTTCACATAAGTAATAGAAGTGCAGCACTTTTCTTCATATGCAAGCTACATTTATCGAAAATGAAATTTGAAAAAAAAAAAAAAAAAAGCTGCACCTGGTGGTTGGTCAGCCCCTCCGGCATGGGGCTCAGCTGTGGGGGCGGATGCTTCTCTTCTGACACAGCCACATCCAGGTACCCGGCATCGTCCTCCTCTTCTGCGCTCGTTCAGAAGCGAAGGAGAGAAGAAAAAAAAAAGATGCAGAGAGGTTGAAAAAGAGAGAAAGTGTACGTGTTAGACAGAATGAGACAAAGAGGGAACAACAGAGAGGCGGCCTTCAGATCTCACTGCAGCAGGAGACACACTGCGACACGCTAAGCATATTACCTCTTAAAATATAAAGAGTTTCTATACTGTTCGGAAAAAAAGAGACAAGAAGAGAGAGAGAGAGAGAGAAGCAGAGGCCTTCAGAAAGACAAACTTTCGAAACAACACTGTATCTCTGTAGGAGTAGAGGAGGCGCATAGACGTGTGTCTGCCAAAACTCGATTCTAACACGTCCTCATCTCTGCACTGGCACAAAGATATTTAACAGTCCCTAAACACACACACACACACACACACACACACACACACACACACACACACACACACACACACACACACACACACACACACACACACACACACACACACACACACACACACACACACACACACACACACACACACACACACACACACACACACACACACACACACACACACACACACACACACACACACACACACACACACACACACACACACACACACACACACACACACACACACACACACACACACACACACACACACACACACACACACACACACACACACACACACACACACACACACACACACACACACACACACACACACACACACACACACACACACACACACCACACACACACACACACACACACACACACACACACACACACACACACACAAAAAACATCCCTACTTCATCTGTTACCATAATGATACTAGAGGCTTCCATCATTCCAATTAAAGACGTTGGAATGATAACAGAGGATTGGTGGAAAGGAAATACAATGGCATGAAGATTTCACTCGATCAACACCTAAAAATAGCAGCACTGGCCTCTTTACCTCTTTGTGATGGCTCGGAGATTTGTCGGAGGCATTGATTTGGTATCTATGGTTTACAGAGCGGCCGTATTCTCCATTAATGGATGCTAATCTCGCTCTATTGTCGGGCATGTCTTTCTATAACATAACCTACATCACACACACAGCATGAGACGTTTCATCCTTCCTCTTTCTCACACATCCACAAAACGAACCGAGCCGAGAGAGACTTTCTGTTTTATTCATAGTGAAATCAGTGAGATCTTTCTTTTGCACCATGCCTTCATTTCCCCCCCCGGAAGGGACTTTGTTTAAAGAGAAGTCAGACTTTCTTACAGTTCCGTCTTCAACACATGTCTGTGGCTTGGCTAGCTTGAGTCAGAAGAAAGCTGCCTTTAGCTCAAGGACTCAACTGTAAGGAGTTTCACAAGCCAGACTTCACAGTAAATCATCAGGACTAAAAATAGAAAGACTTTTATCCATGGGAGGACAAAAAAAAAAAAAAAAGAGCCAGCTGACCAACAATTTCGTCAAGTTTTCAGACTACCCTGCATTACCCGGTTGGTCTTTTTTCTGCAGGAAGTTAACTTTCCGCATGACGGCTATTTTGGTCTTCTCGAGCCCACCCTTCGTCCCGCTTCTCGCCGCCTTCATGAGCTGCTGGACCTGGTTGGAAGGAGCACACAGAAACAACGAGGGAGCGTTAGAGCACGAGGAAAGTGTCTGATAACCTAAACGCGGCTCCTCCAGAGAGAGAGAGAGAGAGAGAGAGAGAGAGATGATGAGTTGGGAGTGACGCTCGGTGGGCTCATCATGAATCTCACCATCTGCGACTCCCTGCGGGTCCCTGTACAGCCTCTAATCAGAGTCTGTGAGCACATCATGGGGAGATTACGGTGATGGCTTGAGCTCCACATCTGAGTAACAGAGCTCAGTGCGGGAGAATTCAGTTGACCACAAAACTCCACCCTGAGCATCACAGAGACCCTGCAACCAGACTCCACGGGGCCCAGGATACACCCAGGGTGGCAGTATTTTTAAATGATGCTACTTCAGGAAAGTAGGTCATTAATTGGGGGCAGGCTGTGCTGGTGTTTATGGAAGTAAATATGCAGAATATTACTTAATAATTCATGTGTCCCATGAATGCGTCATGATATTAAACCAAGCAGGAGAGAGAGAGAGAGCGCGAGAGAGACTGACAGAGCGTCTCAAAGCAAAGTCACAGTCCAAAGGAAAGCCGGGGGAAGGATGGTGCAAGGGAATCGGTGAAGGCTTCGAGTCAGCTGAGGATGTAACACAGCTTATCCCTGTCATGGTTTGAGCTACGTTCATGATTTCTTCATTCATGTATTCAGTTTTTAGGGTTAATATGGTGATCTAACTCGTCTGTCATTTCAGACTCAGCCACTCCCATCTGTCTGTCTGTCTGTCCGTCTGTCTCTCTGCCAGTAGAGGGTCCTCATCTCCTCACCGATTCCCTTCACACACCTGGTCCACATTGCCTCTACCAACCCCCCTTCCAGATTGTCTTTGTGCGTAGCTTTAGCTTTCTAGTGTTTCATAGTCTGTTTCTCCATGTAGTATTTGGCCTAGGCTGTACTCTGGACCTGCCGAGGCCTCACTCCTTTAACTCCGTTTGCCCGTCTGGTCTTGTATCCTTGAATCTATTTTTGTGAGTAAATACTTTGTTGATCATGCGCTTGGGTTTATTTTACCATTGAACTGTGACATACAGTACAGCTTCTGGTGATCATCAATCCTATATTGCAGGGTGGTTTTTAGCTCTGTGAAGAAATACTCTTCTATGAAGGCCAATTGTTGCATGTTAAAAACAAAAACGCCTTTTCTTTGACATTTTAATGCTTTGCACAGCATCTAAATCAAACTGAAGGAGGAGGGGGAAATGTTGCTGCTATGTGTTTGTGTTATTTATGGGAACGCTGCTCATGTGTCTGAGTGCCACTGAAGATGAGACAGCTTGACATTTTTTTCAGACTCAGTATAAACTTTTGCATCATGCAGAAGTTGACCTCAAACCAGCTTCATTATTTCACAATGATCTGATTTTTAAACGTAAAGCCCGTCACCTCTTTCAACAGCCAACCAGCTTGTATCATTACTAGTCGTACAAATATTGCGGAGTGGCTCTGTATGAATCCCAATTGTTAAGAATTTAAACAGAAAAGTGATGCATATTTCTAGAAACAGCTTTTCTTTGACATTTTAATGCACCTAAACCAAACTGAAGGTGGGGGTATGTTTGCTACTACAGTATGTGTTTGTGTTATTTATGGGCACCCTGCTAATGTGTCTCAGTGCCTGGAGTTGAGACAGCTTAAGCCTTTTTCAGACCCAGGTTGCATCAATATAGACTCTTTGAAACTGTTGACCTCAAATCACAAGCATCTGATTTTTAAATGTGAAGCCCGTCACCTGTTTCAACAGCCAATCAGCTTGTATTAAAGTCAGCCCAGCCCCCTTTTATTACCGTTTTCATTAATGAGAGCTGCCGTACGTCACCACCTCCACCTCACAACAACCACACCTCCATTATAGGGTGAAAACGAGCACTTTAAAAGAACTGAAGGGATCATGGAAAACATCAGGAGCAGCACAACCAAAGGCTGCTGCAAGGCATTTTGAATTTCCAACTATGAAGTATTTAATGTGAACCTTGAAGTTTTATAACCTTTTTCTAGATGTTACAATGGCGATCAGATGATCGAAATCTTTACCTGTATGAGCATTGGATTTGGCCTCAGACAGAAGATGGTATGGTTGTTTTTCCATTTACTGGGGGTGGAAATGTTTGTGAAGGGCAAAAAAACAAGATGGGTTGCTTTCATGCACAGGAGTTATTGTTTAAAACAAGATGGGATGTTTTGTTTTCTTGCTATTTTAAATTATTTTGAATATTGTCTTCTGAAATTGTATTCATCCACGACATAATTAGACAGTTTCTGACAGAAGTGTGCTTCAATAACATACCAAATATTGATCAAAAACACTCAAATTTGGAAAGATTTGAACTGAATCTGAATAAAATTGTTGGGTGATATCAAAGAGAACCTCCATATTGCGATGTTCACTTGCTGCTCGGGGGTATACCTTGACGTCATAGTTGTGCTTGCCAGACAGCCTCTGGGCCAGATCACGTTTTGTCTTGGCACACCGATCCCTCAGACGACGCACTTCAGGGGAGAGCTACAGGTGTCGGACGGGGACAGGCGAGGCACAGGGGGGTGGGGCAGGTCACATTTAGCCACAAAAAGAGCAGAGGGAGGAGATAAAAAGAAGGGAAGAGGAAATAAGAGGGGGAAAAAAAGGGAAAAACGGCGAAACAAGCCAAGCAACATTGGGAATTAATCACAAGCAAAGAGAGAGAGGGTTTGCGGTGTTTCTGTATGAGACTAATAGACACTGATTTATGGAGGGATGGGAGGACGGGTGCAGCCGGTTTAGGGGCAGATATTAAAGAAGTAAACTCTGCTGCAGCTCTCCCAGGCTGCTCGAATTAAGTAGAGAAGTGAACAAGAGGAGGACTTCAGGTACACTTGGTGGAAAGTTAATCGGGTGAGACTAATTAAAAACAATGTGTTTTTGATGAGGGCTGTGCTAAAAGTGTTGCCGGGCCCTAATAGCCAAGGTCTCTTCATTAATTGTCCGACCCGTGCAGCAGCCGAAGCCCTCCTCCTCCTGCTTAGCGTTCTGGGACAAGCGTGCCGAGAGAACTTTGGGGGATTTCTTTCTTCCACAGAACAATTCAGATAATTACCTGAGCAACTCATTTTGAGTCATAATAAAACCAACACCTTACTCCCTTTGGTTTCTGCCTTTACTTAAAGCTTTGAGTTAACTCTGTATTTTTCTGGGATTACAATTGATAAAATCCTAATAAAAACATCTTTAGAATGTAAAAAGAATATATATATATATATATACATTAATAATGATACAACTCTGCAAAACACTCCTCCATTAGTGTGACTCAAAAGTTTCCCAATATGCTTGCTCTGGTGCATGCACATTAAAGTCCGGCGGAGCATAAAGGGAATGCAGCCCGGTGTGAATGTGCACACAGTGCCATCATGTGGAGGGAAGACACCGTGTAACAGTGCTGCATAAAACTGATGAGCAGCATCCTTGGCAGAGAGGAGGCAAAGGAGATCTGAGGCTTTTCAAAACAGAAATGCCTCTTGTTTATTTTCCTCCCACAATCAAAGCAAAAAGTCTAGACAGGCTGTTATACAGTTTTCATGTTCTTTATAGTTTCCTTCCACTTGTAGACATAAATAAAGACCACTATGCTTGAAGTGCAGGGAATTAAATATTCCACTTAATTGTTTTTTAAGTGCTGGAAAGATGAGAGCATGTGGCCAGTCATTCCAAATATATCATAGAGTCTGCTTTTGAACACGACGCATGCATCGACTACAAACCGCAGCACTATACCTTGCTCCGTGTTGGTTGTTTGGCCTCGTTATCAGACTGCTCGTCATAGCTCTCGAACTCGCTGGAGCTCCACCCGTTGTCTGCACCCGCAGGGCGGCTCTCTCTCTGGACGTCCTCATAGATCAAATCTGCTCCAAACATGTAAAAAGATATTACACATCAGAAGCTCCACATCATGTTTTTTTTTTTTTTTTTTTTTGAGTTAGTTCACATCCATAACTCACCGTCGTCGGGAGAGAGGGGGTCCTCACTCGGAACGTCATCATAGATCACCTCTGAAGCCTCCGGCGTCTGTGGCTCGGCTTCAGCTGGCAAACAAAAGGAGCGGGCGACAGGGTAAACAAACTCTGTTTTCAAGTGGAATCAGAGTGGCTCCTGTCTTCTATCTCCCCGTTTTCTTTTTGATAGCTGCACCACCTGCTGATAAATCATCCTTTTGCATTTCTCCAACAAAGAAAAAAAAAAACCCAAGCACAAACAGAAAGCTGAACACACACACATACACCTTCAAACTACATCGCCTGAATCCTTTTGGCAACACAAAGATAAAAAGATAAAACGCTGGGTCTTCTCGCCTTCTGGAATTTACACAGCCCTCTGAATATTTACGCACTTATCCTATCATTTGCATCTAAAGGTCTTCTTCCCCGAGGGAGGGGGGGTCTGACATATGGTTTTGTTTCTGTAATGGGCTTGGACCATGTGACGCATCATGATTGTATCCAGCTTGTTTGAGCTGTTGACCCGTTCAGTCTCCACACTCGACGGGATTTGTCATTAAGTGCTTTCAAAGTGTTTCAGCCTAATTTAGCTCGGTGAGCCTTATTGATTCGGTTTTAAACTGTGATTTGTCTGCTACATGAACAGCATGCAATCGCTGTTTTCAATTAATCTGACTGGAGACGTGTAATCTGTCATGGATTATTTCAGTAGTCAAAAAAAAAAAAAACTGAAATAACCTTGAACACAATCCAGGAGATGAACAAAGAGCAACTCGTTTTTCCACCCAAAGAGGATTAGTAAACACAAACGTTCTTTCTGTCGTGCTCACTTTCCTGCGCTTGTGCATTCAGAGAGGATTCAGAACAGAGAAGAAAACGACTGGATTTTGGGATATCAGCCCGACTATCGGCATATCTGCAAAGTGGCAGGGCCTCGGGGGAACACGGCTTGTTATTTCAAACGTAGTAAGCCAGAAGTTTCCTGCTGTGTTTCTCACTTTTAATGGAACTTTTTCTTTGGAGCAACACAATGATATTCAAGAAAAGCAAACATCCATAGGACACACTGACACTGCTGTCAATCAAAAACAACACTGACATTTGATTGTGGGTACTTAAAAGTGTTTTTAAAGAAGAAGAAATAAACATCCCAGTGTATAGTGAACACAATTGAGGAAGTGATGTGATTACTTTGACTAACAGGAAACACTTATTTATTGATAATAATCGTATAAAGTAACACTGGTGAGACTAAACGCTGCAGTGAATCCTCAAACTACAGCTCCTTTGATCACTGGTGAAAAATGAAGTGACATTTTTCACACATACTCTTGTTTACGCTCAACATACCCTCATCATAGGTTAGTATATCACCGCACACACAAGGTATCTTTTAACGTCAGCTTTTTTTTTTTTTTTTACCCTTAACTATCTGGTTCCAAAGCCATGAGGTGGCTGTTTGAAATGACTCTCTCTTTTGATTAATGGTACACTTTAGCCTTGTCTTTACCATTCAGTGTCCGATTTAAGTTATCCTTTAATAGATGTGTCAGGATACCTTTTAGACTCTGTACCATAGACTGTAAATATGAATGTTTGAAGCCTGAATGACGTCACCCATCTGTTCCTGCAGGGGGCTCTGGAGGCTCATCAGCAGCAGCCACCATGTTGGAAATCCTGTCTCAGCCTAACTCTCAGTCAAACTAACAACAGGCTGAGAGCTGGAGCTGAGGCGGGCTTTAAGCCTCCTGACAAACAGCTACACGGCACCTGTCTGCCACCCAGGTCAGCTGCGCGCTAATCAGACAAATATAATTTTTGTACCAGGCTGTAAGCATGTTTATTTCTGCTGTAAAAAACTGCTTTTTTGACTGTAGTGTGTGTGTGTTTGTGACTTCCGGGGCTCTTGGAGCAGACCCTCGACAAATTTCAAGGATTTTGCACTTCCAGATCGGCTTCATTTTTGAATACCAGAAGTTACCGCTTGTTCTGTACCAAGGTGCCCCTTAGTTTGTATTTAAAGCTAACATGTAGCCTTAGAATCAAGGTAGCATTAAGTCTCTGTTCCAAAGTGTACTTTAGCAGCTGTTTAAAAGTACACTCAAGTGTCTTTTTTAGCCTCTGTTTCAGGGTAACGTCTCTCAAAGTATTCCTTTGCATCTGCTTGAAACTACACTCCAGCCTCAGGCGTATGTTACCCTTAAGCGTCTGTTTCAGGGTACCCTAAGCGCCACTTTGTGCCTCAGGTGAACGCTAAAACAACTACAAAGTTTAAAAAACAAACATGTTTTTACCTTTTCTTTCACATGTGATCAAACCCAGCTGACCCATCCCCCCCCCCCCCCCGAGCTGCCACCCAAAGCAGACTTCATCTTACTAGGTCATCATTTTATACCTGCTGGATGGCACGTGCTCCACCAGTGGATGGGCTCCCATTGGTTTTTTGTTTTTTTTAAATAAAAGTGTCTTTGTGCTTCTGTATGGGAAGCCAAGATGTGAAGGGAAAGGGGTTATACAGGATTAATAGTGCCTAACTTTTCAGTTGTTTCAGTACAAACACAAAGACCTACAAAGTAAGTAGCCTAATTTGTCCCCACACAGAGGGTAGATGCAGATATAAGACACCTGCAGGCGTCAGGTTGGAAACTTAAAAGTGAAATTGTGAAACGACAAAAGGATCATTGTAATAGATTTCTGCTTAAGATCAATAAACAGGTAGTATTCATGAATCTTGCTTTAAGTCTGCTTCCATTATCCACTTCCTTTTATGACAAGGTACAACATCCATGAAGGAGGTCTAATATCATTTTTATTCCTTAATCAGTTTTTAAAAAATATTATACACATTCAAATTAATGGCAGAGTACTGTGTGGAAATACATCAAAAGACTGGGACATAAAAAAGAAGAAGAAGCCGTGCAGCAGTGCAGGGCTCCTTTACATCTCTCATTTCTGAGCCACCTTCAAATAACAGCAGCACTGCTGACGGAGCCGAAATCCAAAAGCAATTTTCCCTCATGGAAATGGTTCTCTATTGATCCTCATCCTGAATTAATTGGATTCATGTCATGTCTGTGTAGAAATCAAATCATGGCTGGAGAATATGTGCGCCTGAGCCAAGTGTGTATTGTGTCAAGTATGTGTGTGAATGGAGTGTGTGCACATTAACGCGTCCATACACATGTGTGTCTGGACTCTTTCACAGTAGAAATCAATGAACCGTAAGATGACCACAGGCCTGCAATAAGGTGTTCATGCCACCTCTGATCAAGGTCAGGAGACGCAGCGAGCAGCGCTAACAAAATACTGGTACACTGGTTTATGTTCCCAATGTCATCACGCCGGGCTCCACGGTTCTGTTTACGCAACTGTGGAGGTCCAATTGGTTTTCCAAGATATCTGTCTGCCATGTGAACACTATAATACACTGCAGGAATGAGCCTGAATCCCAAGGCAAGCTTAGGTTTAATCTTTCTGGTCTGAAATTGAACTCTTGATCTACAATATAAGGTGCATCACGTTGCTGTCAATATAATTTAGTTCTGTACCTTCAGAGACATCCCTTGAGCCGCTGCTTTCCTTGAGGATTTCTTTGCTGTGCTCTCCTGAATCAGCCAACGTGTCCGCAGGAAGTGCCGGGAGCTCTTCTCCTCCCTCACGAGGAGCTGAGGTAGCGGGCTCGGCTGCTCCTTCTGCCGCCGCTGAGGCCCTGGAAGGTACCCAAATGTTAGCACAGTAAAAGAAACTAACAGTGAGTGCTGCGTGCCTCATTAAGAGTTAATTTCCGAAGGAGGAAAAGGGAGAGGGGGGGGCGGGGGCAGAGTGGCTGGAGGTGGGGGTCGAAATAGTTCTTCGCTATCTGAGCATGCAAACAAACACTCCCTAAAGTCAGACAGAACACATACTGCAGCTGTCAAGTTATTGCGGTATTTCTGAGGGAACTTATCTGGAGGCAGGAGCACTGTTTATTTTGAATGTGGGCAGCTGTGCATATTCATATGTGACTAGAAGGCTGTGTTTTCTCTCCCTTTTGTTTGTCTTTTAATTCAAAAGTAAGCAGAGGTATGTTCAAAATAATTAACGGATCTTAACGGGGGGCAGGGGGGCGCATTAGCATTTAAAGAGACACACACACCAGAACGGAGCGTTCTGAGAGAGCTGGTTTATACAGGGTCACAAACCTCCTCTGGTGCTTGATTCATGTTATATTTTGACCAAAGCACAGCACAGATGTTTCATTTAGACCACAGGGGACTGTTTGGAAAGGTGGAAAAGGGGGATAATATGTCCTCTTTAAGTCATGAAACTTCTCAGTCCACCCACATGAGGCCTTTTAAAAAAGAAAACAGTGAAAATATTGAGAATTGCCGAGGGGCTTACTTTAAATTAATTATCTGCGACAACAATTTATTCCACTTTCTTAGAACAAGTCTTTTTACCGACAACTTCAGCTGAAGGCGGGATGAGTTTTACTGATCTACTTATTCATAGTAACTTTTACAAGGCCATATGTGTAAGCGCATCTAAAAAAAAAATCACACCTACTGCTCGTTATATGAGCTACCTAACCTGCCCCTGAGCACTGTCAAATCATAATCTGTCATGCCCGGGGCTTACCATAATCACCGCTGGCTTTTTGAATGAAAACACGCTCTGAACAAGCTATTAAAACCAGGCTCTGACATCACAGGGGAAAATCTTGTTGACACAGCTATCACATGGCCTGTGTTGATGCTGCCAGTGAGGGATTGTCCTCCCCCACATGACTGATAATATGACAGCTTCCAGCGTGTAGGAGAGCCCCCAACCACACTCATTAAATCCATCCCTCTGCTAAAGACCTCGGCTAATGTTTGTAATGCCAGCAGCAGACACTGGGAGTGACGGGCAACCTGCAGACAAATAAGGACAGGAACACAGTGTGCACAAAATGCTGTAAATGGAAACTTTTTTGGAGGCAGCCTTGCAGACTCTGACTCGGCATTAACATGGTAATAGAAGTACACTATCTGTATTCAGTCATTATCTTTCCTTGTAAGGCGCAGCAGCAGGTGAGTCAGACAGAAAGACTAGGATCAACAAATAACAGTTGGAAGTTTGCAGCATCTGTTTACACAAAAAAACAGAAGACAGATAGGTAAGATGCACGACATGGAGAATAATTTAGATAGTGTCTATCACAACAACACCACAGAGCCTGCAGGGATTGTTAAGTTCTGCAGCGTTTTGAAGGCAAAGTCAAACAGCCTCGGACTCAAATCTTGATTGAACAAAAAACTAGTCCCATGATGTTAAAGGTACTGTCAACTTTCCTCTACTGTGCTGATCCCAACTTGAAAGCATTGATTCCTCTAAATGACTGGACTCCACTCAAACATAACCTTTTACTTCCTTTTATTTTGAGGATTATTTTAGGTTTAGGTTTCAGTTTAGGTGAAAAACCTTTGAAATACGAGAAAATACAACAGAAAGAATACTTGTTAATATGTGCTTAATGTAAGCTACACCACAGCTTTAACATTCAAACCATTTATGTACTTTTTCATTTCATTAAATGAAATTAATATTCAACTGCTGCAAACACTTTTTATAAACCTGAAGAGGCAAGCTGTCAAAGCCTAAACCAACAAACAAAGTGAGCGCAGCTGTAATCCACGTCATCAAACAGTCTTTTAATGTTTTTAAAGTTCAGCATCTTACCGGCTGCCTCTCTGGATTTCTAGATTTCTGGATCGTCTTTTCTTTTTAGTTTCAGCGAGTTCCCTGCTGGTTTGCCTCTCCTCTCTGATGCTGTGTGTGTGTGTCTGTCTCAATGACCCAGGTGCACTCACAACTATGACCGTGAAGATTGAATTCTTCCGGGTTTGGTTTGCTTTTGTGTTTGTATGTAAAACATCATCTGTTTATTTACTAATTTAAGCAAACAATAAAAATAACTTTACCAGCAGAATGTGTTTTATAAATCTAACTCTATATGCTGATGTCAATGATCAGTTATGTTTGACTTTTTATCCTGCATGTCTGTACATGTCTATGTTACTTTTTCTACTTCTTTCAAATCCTCTACTTGAACTTATCATTTATCCCTAAATACATTTATTTTTTAATTCAAACTCTAGTTTGACTCGACAGTTACTACTAGAGTTGTCACGATTCCAGGACTTTGTAATTTTGTACGATATATACAAATAACAATAATACAAATCAAAGGATATCGATTAGGGCTGGGAATCTTTGGGTTTGGGTGATTCAATTCAGAATCTATTTTCGATTCAAAACGATTCTGGATTCATGATTCAAAGTCCATTTATGAATTAGTACATACTTCAGAATCTGCTCCTGTCATCTGTGAGACTGGCTAAATTTATTGCTGCTCCATTTGTCATTCTACTGAGTTAAAGTACTAGCAAGGACTGACTGATTACCCCCCCACCCCAAAAACAAAAAAAAAACGATTTTTCACACACACCTCTAATATTGATGTCACATCACTAAAGAAAGACCTCCTCTGCAAAACTGGTAGATGTTGTAATTTTTGATTTCCAGCTTGTATTATTGAAAGAATCCCTGAACACAGACTATAATTAGACATATTAGACATACTTTCTCATAGTAATAAAGGGCAAAGTAAATAAGATCTTCCTAAAAATAATGTAGCCTATATCTAAAATAAAACATTTCCTCCGAATTATCTTTCATAATCCAGACATATGTGGTCTCTGAGGAAGTTAGCGATTCGTGAGCACGGTGCACAAATAAAGCAGTCATATGCTTTCTGAGTATTTGAATCACAGTAATTTTTGAAAGGCGAAGTAAGTCCTATTTTCTCATTCCCACAAGTTAGGAGTTACAAAAAGAAAACTTTTAGGAGCCAGGTTGGGGAAAAGATCTGCAGCAACGAGCAAAAGAATAATGCAAGCAACCAGCTAAAAACATTTGCATCACAGCAATTATTTTAGAAAGTACTGTGTCTACAAGAGAGGAAAAGTTATATTTTCAGATATAACATCTGGTTCAAGGTTTCCTCTTCTGAACTCGTTTTTTCTTGGAGAAATTACCTTACTGAATAGCCCCAAGTTTAAATACTGCACTATAATCATTTAACCCAACAAGATCAAATCCAGGCCTTTCAGATTCAACCTCTCAAGTCTGTCTGGAAAAATTACTGCTGATGCCTCTTTCCACTTCGACTTCCTCTGAGGCTTAGCTTTTTTCTTTTCCACACGCTCATTAAAAGTTATTTTTACGTTTGAACTTTTAGGTAATGCTCCCACCACTTTAAATATTTTGTTTCCTAGTATATGAGAGTGAGCGCCCCTACCTGATGACTCCACACGGGGGCGCTTATTACATGAATGAGGGTAACATGAACAGAAGTTAATTGGAGAAAAGAAAAAGCTGACGTGGGGGCATAACGTTGGACAGCTGTTATAGGAATAGAAAGGATGAAAAGTTAAAAGAGGGGAAACTAACGGACAATGACAGTAAATGAATAAACCATGATATCGTTATGGTGCAGGTATCTTAGCGTTTCATGAGTTACCCTGCAATTCCCCACCCTGATATAAAGTCCCTGAAGAGAAGGGCTGTCATTTTTTATTCAAAGATCCAACATTCAATCGAACCTCTGGGAGAAAGTTCACATTGCAACTTTAATGACACTCTCAAATTCAAAATGTACAGTCAGCGCACAAGGCCGTCTGAAGTGGTTTACAATTTGCTCTCAGCGTAACTTGACCATTGCATGCACTCTTGACCTCAGTAAATTAGGCTGTAAACTTGTGGTAAGAGGGCGACTGGTCTCTCTGCAGACAGCGGCCCAATGGTTTGGTGGAGAGACACCGGGTCGCTACACCTGCAAACATCTGTGTACCAGGAATGTCTGTGCGCTCCGAACGGGTGTTCTCGTGAGCAGGTATTCGGCCAATTGTGACTAATAACAGAGCTGCACTCAATCCTGATCAAGATGATACATTTATAAGACAAGATGGTCCTTTTGGATTGTCAACAGGCTGTTGGTTTTGTTGGCACAGTGGCGGCAACGGGGGGAGTGGTGTTAGTCATATTTAAGCGCGCTTGAAGTGGATTCTTTTGAAAAAGTGACAGCAGTATTTTACAACTCCTGTGGGGGGCGGGACTTAGTTCATAAAATGTACATCTTCTAATTCTTTTCCATGCACATCCCTATACTCTTAATACTAATCCTGACCGACATAAACACAACTTAATAAGTGCAAGTATACATGTTGCTCTGTTTGTGTTTATGCCATGCTTTCCCTCTTTTACAAATGACCACAGCTAATCTAAAAGCAATAGCAACATGTTACATCACATTAGCTGATAGCTGTTTGGTTGTGCAGCGGTTGTCAAACTGCAAAAGAGAAGAATAGCTGCGCTGCTGTATTCTCTATGATGCTGGATCATTCGTCTCAATCTGAAGAACAAAAAATGATCTCAACCCACATGACAGCCGAATAAAGAGCTATTTGTCAACACATTACTTTCGATAAAACTGATCTCTCGTCGTTAAAACTGCCTTTGTGGGAAGAGAGTGGAGCCGTGAACAATGGCGATATGCGGGGCTCTCGTCTGCCTGACTGCACGCGCTCGTGTCAGCCGTGAGCGATTTTGAGCACTGCAGCTATTGATCTAGGCATATCTTTGCACACCCCTTCACAACTTATCTGTGCCTTTAAGCCTCAGTGAGTC